TTACTATCTTGCAAAAAGAATGATATGACTAAAAAAAGTATTTTATGTTTGCCTATTATTTTAAATATTTTTTAATTCTTCATCTTATTCTAAACTATTCCTTAAAATTATATAATCCTAAAAAGTACAATATTCAGATATAAGATTATTCATATCCTGTTTCATATAATTATAGATTTATTCATTCAAATTACAAAGATAATTGATATAACTATTAAATTCAGAATGAAAACTATAATAATAGAGTTCATTAGCTAAATAATCAATTGAATTCAAGAGTAGAATTAAATTGTTTGTAAGTTTGCTCAATAGGATGCAAGAATTTCTTAATATATTCCAAAACTTAATTTTTGCTACTTATTATTTATTCATTATTTTATCACATTTGTATGAAGCCTTGAATTGATCATTTGATTCAGATAGAAAGAATTTTTAATTTATTTATCCACTCTAATTTAATAAGTCTTATTCATTTTTCTCTATTTTATCATATTTATATGAGGTATACATTTCTAAATTATTTTATAATTATAAATCCAAAATAGATTAAACCTAACCTTTTTTATTTTAAAAAAATAAATATTGATACAATTCTGTCCATGTAAGCCTTTCTTTAGGATCATATTTTAACATTTTTTGAACCATTTATCTTAGTGTTTCATTTTGAATCAAATGAAATTCTGCAATCTCATTTTTGATTTTATCTAAAGCACCTGTTTATTAATTAAATGGTACTTTTCCAGTAATTAATTAAAATATACATATTCCCAAACTAAATATATCAGCACTAATTGAATATGGTTCCATTAATATAATTTCAGGAGCTTAATTTTAAAGTATTAAATACCCATATGTAATTCAGTTCCAGCATATGTATTAGTTAGATCATCAGTTAATAACTATTTAGCAAAACCAAAATCAAGAATTTTATATGATGCATTTTTAAACACACTTTGATCATTTTAGTTAATCAATTTATCTTCATCTTCAATAGACAATTTCACTCCTATATTTTCCAATTTAATGTCTCTATGTATAATCTTATTCTTATGCAAATCATGTAACCCATTTACCAATTGGCGTAGTATTACTATTACTAAATCTTCTGGCAAGCCCATTTTGTAATATTTTTTCATCATTTAATTTACATCAATTATACAATACTGAAAATAATGATACTTTCAATATACTTCTAATACAAGAAACAATCTTTCATCAGTTTAAAAAGCCTCTATTAATTATATTACATTGTTATTCTAACTTTTTTATAGTATTTCAATTTCATTTTTCATGTATGGAATAGCTTCTTATTCAATTTTCTATAAATCCACTACCTATTTCTAATTATTTAAAATACCTTTATTGCCACATATTCTTGGTTTTCAGTTTAGCACTTAAAAACATGAGCAAAGCTACCTTATCCAATATATTATGGATTCGTGTATTTATTATTGAATACTTCTAGTATAGCTTGTATTTTTTAAGATTTCTATTTCATTAAAAAGAAATTGAATAATTATAATTATGATTATTTAAACAGAATATTAAAACAATATTATATATTTAACTGCATTTATAAATTTATCAATTTTGTTAGAATTATATTTAAATCAAATAAATTTGATGAATTCTTATATGTTTCTTAATCTCAAATATTGAGATGGTTTACTAAAATACTAATTTTTAATGATTAGTTCTCTATCTTTTATTAATCAGAAAGGAGAAATTCTAATCTATAGAGTTTATAAGGATGATATCAACAGAAATGAAATAATATAGTTTTGTGCTAAAATGATAGCAACAAAAGAAAATAAGGAATCACCAATAATAAATATAGATTGTAAAAATATTAAATCTTAATAGAAAATAGAGACATCATTTATTCATATATCGATAAAAGATATAATAATATTGGCAACTACAAAGATAGATGTGAATGTAGCAATGGTTCTTGAATTTTTATATCAATTGGTATTATGAAATCATAATTTGATTATAGACAAAAATTTGTAAAGCATATTTTTAAGGGAATTTGGATGAAAATTGTATAAGAAAAAGCTTTGTTCTTATATATGAAATTTTAGATGAAGTGCTTGATTATGGGATACCTTAAATAGCTGATGCAAATTTATTATAAAAAGTTATTATAAATAAAATGATTAGTTTATTTAAGAAGGTGGAATATAATAAGAGACTACAATAAACATAGAAAGATTAAGATAATTAACATATACATTGACAGGAGCAATATCATGGAGACCAGCGGGATTATATTATGAGAAAAATGAAATATATCTTGATATAATAGAAAGTGTGAATTTGTTGATTTCTAGAAAAGGGACAGTTTTAAGATCAGAGGTAGTTGGATCGATTGAACTTAGAAGTAAACTTACAGGGATGCCAGAATGTTAGATTGGGATGAATGATAAATTATTAATGGGGAAATAAGCAAGATATAATAAATAAAATAGTGGAATAACAATAGATGATATGAAATTTCATGCATGTGTTGGATTACCAAAATTTGAAAAGGATAGAATAATAACATTTATTCCACCTGATGGACATTTTTAATTGATGTCATATAGGATTTCTGAGAATATTAATATTCCTTTTAAAGTGAATGCATTTTATAGTGAGATTAGAGAGAATAAGTTAGAAATACGATTGAAAGTAAAAAGATAGAGTAAAATTAGATAAAATCAATATATGATCAAAATATTTATGGAACAAACATTATAGTAAAGATACCAGTCCCTAAGAATAGTGTTAATGTGATTTCAGCTTCTAGTATAGGAAAAGCAAAACATGAAGTAGAAGAGTAGAGTGTAATATGGAGGATTAAGAAATTGTAAGGAGATGTAGAAATATCATTAAAGTATATTTTAGTAATTAATTAATTTATAGTTGTGAAATACAATTAGGATTGACAACAAGAGAAGAAGTTTGGAGTAAACCACCTTTAAAAATTGAATTTTAGATTCCAATGTTTACAGCAAGTGGATTAAGGGTGAGATTTTTAAAAGTAATGGAAAAGAGTGGATATAGAACAAATAAATGGATTAAATATTTAACAAAAGGAGGAGAGTATTAACATAGATTATGAATATTATTATAATATAAATTAATAAGTTTTAAATAATTGTTTTTATTATTTATAATAAATGAAAACATAAATTGTGTAATGTTTAATATTAAAAGTATTGAGTGTTGAAATGAATATTGAAAGACATTAAGAAGAAGTTATTAATAAAATAATTAAAATGGGCATCTTTTATTGTAGAATTAGGTAGTGTTAGTACATTGACAGAGTTGGTTGAAGCGATTAATTAATTAGAAGAAGAATTCAGATGATATTCATCATGCATATTCTAAAAGAACTGATGAACTTAATAAAGATGTAAAATGCATTAACATAATTAAAACTAATATCAAAGAAAATGCCCAAATCAATGAAGTTATTGAATCGATTGATGAATCATTAGGACTTTTATCTAAAATTACTTATCCATCTCTTGTTTAATTCAAAAGAGTTTAAACTAATCTAGGAAGAATCTAAACTACTTTCCAAAACCATTCCTCATTTCCACCTATCATTAGAATTAGTAACTGAATAAAACTTTGCTGATTAAGAATCTCTCTTATAATTGATTATAATATTCAATGAATTAAGAGATTAATTTGTTCATACTTTAGATCAAGAAACTGCTGATGAATCCAAATTTACTTCAAGAGTTACACAATTAGAAAAGAATTTACTCAATTTCAAAGAGCTGTTTTCATCAAAAACTTAGAATTTGCTGCAAATGAATGTATCTTTACTAATTATAATAGAAAAATTAGGTGAAACCATTGTTTATTTTGGATAAAGAAAAGATGCTAGAGCCACACTCTAAGCTTAATTATAAGCTGAAAATGATAACTATGCTGCTGAAATAGATCTTTATAATAAAACTGTAACTGAATATAAAAAACAAATTAAAATTAGTAAATAAGCTCTGGCCCTAATAACATAACCTAGCTTTGAATTATATGTTAAATCTAAAGTTGGAATTTGATCTTAATAAAATACCAAAAATAAATATATATTAATTCAATCAAATTTATTTAAGTCTTATCATTGTTAAAATTAATCCTATAAATTTTATTTCTAAATCATCTTTAAAATATCTGCTCTTATTTAAAGTGGACAAAATGAATCAGTTATCTTGTTTTCTAATATGGGATTTTCAATCTCTTCTTCCTTTGTCACTATTTGTTAAGGTTAAATTTGTTTCAATAATAGATTCATAGTTTATTATCCCTATAATTAGGATTCATTATTTTAAGACTTTGTCATTTCTGAAAATGTGGATTAACACATCTATTCTTTTTACCAACTTAACATATCTTAAGTGTTTAATATTCCATAAAATTCAGATGTAATAAACTAATAAGGATAATATATTAATGGTTATTGCAATAACTAATACTCTGTTGGAAAGTAAGGAAAGTTTATTTACTAATGTTATTATTATTAGTATCCATAATTTTGAAGTTACTTATTAATTATTTATTATTCATCTTAAACTTATTTTTCTAAATCAAATTTAAATTATTCTTTGTTCTACTTATCTTCTTAGTTTCTTTTCTCTTAACAAAACTTCCTATATTTTTTAATCTTTTTAATTATCTTACTTTTCTTTATCGTCTCCTTCTCTAAAACTCTTACATTTTTTGGTACTACATAATAAGGATTTTATATTTTCCCATATTATTTTCGAATATACGAATAAAATCTGTTTTTTATCATATTTTCCTAAAATTGGAATAAAATTTATAAATACAGGTCTTCCTGGTAACTTTTTAGACATATCAGACCATTTGGTACCAACACTTTGATACATATTCCAGATCCATTTATCTTCTTCTTCAGTCCAAGGGGATTTTAATATATTTGGATCTAAATGATTGACAAATCTCTCTCTAATTTATCTACCAGTTCTATTTGGAAGATGATGTGAGATTAATCTCCAATTAAATGAATAATCCTTGGTAAGTCTAAGTACTTCCTCATCTTCTTCTTAACTCCACTTCTAATTTCTTTCATTCTATTATAATTAATCAATTATTTACTTCTTTAGGCTTTATCCTCTTCCATCTTTATGCACATTAAGATGCATTTCTTCCAGGTACATATTCTGCTATAATCTTCCAATTTGATCCATGTAAAATCACAGCAGAATTCAATTTTGTATCTTCATCATTGCTCCAATACTTTTTATTGTTGTGTTTTTGATTGAATTGTTGTTCAACTTCTTAATTATTTCCTTAACTAATCATTCTGATGTATATTATTGTTGTTAAGTCGTACCCAAATATGATGGGATTCAAAATATTAATTAATTAGAGAACATAAATACTCACATTGAAGTAGCTATGTCGATCATTTAATAACAATAAACATCTCTACTCAACTACTGTAAAATAATGCAACTTTACTAAAATAAATTCTTTATTTTTTTATAATCTACATAAATATCAAGTGTCATGAGCATCATTTCATCAAAAACACCTTTTGTTTTTCTATTTTTAATTAAAAAGTTGTCATCTATAGAAATATTATAAAAGTTATATTTTTGTAAAATCTAGTTCATTCCAATTTACCTCAAATATACTTCAATAATCTTTTAACTAACAGTATTTTATAGTTATAAAACATTATAAAATGTAAATATCAATACATTAGATGGAATTATTACAAAAAAAATAAATTATAAATTATTACTTAAAATTATTTTGATATATATTAGTGCATATGCTAGCTCTTATTTAACAATATTTTTATTACTTGAATAATTTTAACAATTAATATTGTTTATTTTATTTTTTTTCATGATAGAAAAGTCTTTAAATTTACTTATTTTATTAGAAAATATTTTAAGATTTAACTATGTTTTGATCAAAATCATTTTATATGAGCTTTATAATAATTAAATAAATATTTAATAATATTTCTTATGTATTTTTTATGATTTATTTCAAATTTTAAATCCTAAACTGTTTAAATAATTTTTTCCATAGTTTTTTGGGTTTTCTTTGAAATTATCTTAAAATTATAAGATGTGTGGTTCAGCTAAGTCTTCATCTCCCATAATCCCTTCAGGTGAAGAAATAACAGGATCACATAAAATATATTCAGCACCATCATAATTTCCTTAAATATTAGATACCATCAACATTTTTTGAGTAGCAAAATAAGTGAAAAGTGAAAAAGCATTAAGATAACTTGTAGTTTTTTAATCCTTATCTATAGATTCACCTTCTCCATTAAATTTAGTGAAATTTCCTTTTGTCAATCTTTCAGCAATATAGAAATCTTTAAATGATAAGAATTTATTATGATACTTCCTTCTGCTGCTTATAATAAAAAGGGTTCTCTATATGCAAATTTGCAAGGAGGCTTTTCAGGAACAGACTTTTAAATTTTATCTTAAAAAAGGTCAGCAAGAACTTTAGCAATAAGGGAACTTTAAGCAACATAAAGGGCTTTTTCAACAGTTACTATTCTTTCAAATCCAATCAATTCTTTAACTAAAAAAACTTAATGAGTATAACGATCACCTTCACTGCTTATAACTTACATAAGAAAGGCTTTTCTTTTAGTACCATCACCATTCTAGATTAATTAATTTAATTTTTTACAATTCCTAAGCTTTTCTTGATTGTCCAATTTCCAATTGGTTCTCTTTGTACAAATTATGCTATATTAGGTTCTTAAGATTTAATTAAACTCTCTAATGCTTTATTTGTATCAATTCTTAAAATCTCAACTTAAACAGTCCAATCATTTGTCATTATATTTTCATTTTTTAAAAATTCAAAAGGATTTGACATATTTTTGAAAAGAGCCTCAGTTGGTGAAACGATTTTACCATCTCCTACTTTTCTAAGTGCATTTTCTTTTATTCTTTTAGCTAATTATGCTCTTTTGTTTTCTTCAACTTTTAATTTTTCATTTTCTTTTTCTAGTTGATTTAATAATTTTTCAATTTTTTAATTTGCAGTTTACATGTTTTAATTACTTGTCTCGATTAAATTTTACAATTCTTTTTATAACTTATGAATTTCAATTGTTTTTTATTGATTTTCATCTTACAATTAATCTTTTATTCTTCTTCTATCTTCTGTGATTTTTTTGACTTCATTTTCTAGAGCATGAATTTTATCTTATTTTTCTTCTTCAGATTTATTCATCTTATTTAATTATGCATCCTTTGAACTTTTAATATCTCTAATAATATTATCTTTTCTTTCTATTTCTTACTATTATTCCTTAACATCATCTCTAAGTTTATTAACATTTTTAATTTAAAGACTTAATTCTGCTTCTACTTCACTAAGTTTTATTTAAATCTACATGTATTTATTTGTTTAATCAGTTATATCTTTTTTTTATTATATTATTTGATCTTTATATTAAGAGCATTTTTCTTCTAATCTTTTAATATCTTCCTTTAAATTAGCTATTTCTTATTCTGCATAACTTCTAGCTTAATTTAATTCTTCACACTTCTGTTATAATTTATTTTTTTATTCTTAAATTTGTTTCTATAATTAAGATGCAACTTCCTTTTCTTTTTTTCTTTCAAATTATTCTTCCTTATATAATCTATTAAGATTCTCAACTTCAAATCGAGCTTTTTAAAATTCAGTATCATTTAACATAGTTGATTATTATCTACCCTATTCATTTTCTCTTTTATATTAATCTTCATTAAACTTTTTCTCAACTTCTGCAGTTTTTAATTAATATTATAATTCTTCAATTAGATTTTCTTTTTACATTATTTCATTTCTTAAATTATTATTAACAACCATCATATCTTTGTATTTTTATATTATTTCAGCTCTTTATTCTTCCTCTTATTAAACTTTATCATCAAACCATTTTTTTAAAGATTTTTATTCATTTTATAATTCTTGAATTTAATCTTAATATTCTGAAATTTAATTATTAAGATCATTTTTTTCAATTCTTAATTGATTTTCTAATTTTAATACTTCTGATTTCAAATCCTTAATTTCATTCTCTAACTTAGCTTCCTTATTCTACTACTATCCCATTATTTATTAAGCCGCTTAATAAAATTATCCTCCACCTGCAACTCCTCCTCCTACTGATACTGCTTTCTTAATTAAATCAGATGTTAAATATAAATCTATTTCATTAGAATCTTTATTTAAAAATATTCTATTTTTAATAGTTTAAATTTTTACTTTGATACTCTATCTTCTTCATGAACTACTAAACTTTTTGATTTAGAATAAAATACAAACTCATCCTAATTTATTCCCTTCAGAATATCTGTATATATATTTATTAATTACCTGCTACACCTTTTTTAGCCTTCAAATAAAATAAATCAGTATCATTCATCTCTATTACTATTGGACTATCTTAATGTGGAATATTAATTGGTTATATCTTAATTTTTCTTTTCATTTCAATATATTTTTAAATATAAATAATAATTAATTAGAGGATTAAAATCATTGATTAAATATATATTAGATTGTACTATATGCATAAAGTAAACATAAATTGTAATATGTTTCAATTCTTTTTTATATAACCTGATTTTTTTTATACTTTATTATTTGTATCCCCTCTAAATTGTTCAATTAATTTCTATATTATTTCACTACTCTAATGAACACTATTATTAATATTCTGTGTATTTGTTTGATGTATTGAATTATTATCAACACTAAAATCAGATGTTCGATTATAAAATTATTATTTTTTATCATTCTATTACAATTTCTAATAATTAGAAGCATGATTTGAATTTCTATAGATATTTTTAAATTAATTACTTTGGTGAATTTAGAAACTTTAAAGTAGGAGAAGCATTTTCAGATCTGCTCTAAGGTGAGTTCTATGATCTAAATGTTTTTCTAAATTTATTGTACATATATACTTTATACTCTCTTATTTCTATTTTAATTATTCCTTAATACTTTTAACATCAGAAATTGTTTACATTTAACGTATAAATTGAGTTTAAACTCTTTAAGTATCTGTTTATATTGAATTATCTAATAATTAAATGATATATCTTACTAATCTTTTATTACAATTAAATAATCATTTAACTTTGCTAATTTATTTGATTTTATTATTTTTAATTCAATTCCATTAACTCCAATTTTTCTTACTTAATTCCTAAAATTTAAAGATTCAATTCATTTATTCTAATATCATTTTGATTATCATTATTTCTTTTATGAATAAATGAATCATGCTCTTAAAATATTCTTGATAATTATCCTCTAATTGATTTAATCTCTCCCAATTCCATTTTCAATGTAGAGAGCAAGGTTCTATTTTCATCAATTTTTTCTTCTTCTTCTATATTCACAAATTATTGAACTCTATCTTCTAATATTTAGATGAGATCAAATAAATCTTTATTATGACTATCTATTTTTTAATCAATTTTGCTAATGATTTTGATTAATTTAGAACACACAAAATCATATTAGACTTAAGTAAGTAATTAATTTTTTTATTGTTTACATAATTAATCATTGAAGGATTAGGATAAGGATAATTATTTATTGGATTAATGATGAGTTTATTAAATAGAATGATTATAAATTAATTGAATTTGTGATTATGTAGATTAGTGGATATAATTATCATGCTATAAGATCTATTATTTGTAGAGATTAATTTATTATTTTGCATTATTTAGATCATTTTTATAGATAGTAATTTATTTTTGATAATGAGCCTCCTGATCTTAAAATTATTCATTTAAAGATGTAATCTTATATTCAGTTTCCATTTGTAATTCAATATATTTAACTTTTTCTTGATTAGACTTCTTCTTAAGTATAAAGTTTTCTTTTTCTAATTCTTAAATTTTAGTTTCTAATAAAATAATTTATTCTTTAAGCTTATTATTTAAGATTATAATTACTTCTTCTTTAAATTTACTAACATCCATGTTAATATGTGATAATACATCTTTATTAGTTTCTGAAGATTTCTTACTAAATTTCAACTATTAACTATTTACTAAACTGATGTTATCAATAATAACATCTTGATTGGATACTTTAGATTGCTTAAATAGAATGAATTCTAATACATCAGGTATATTACTGGGAGTAAGTTCTTCAGGAATGGCTGACAGAGGATATCTTAAGGAAGATTTATTAATAGGAAGTTCATCTTCATCTTGATTCATTCCCATTATTTGAGAATGTGTTAAGAATGGTAAACGAGGTGATGAAATATCAATCTAGGTTTTTGGTGTTGTTTCTGCTTATATTAATGCTTCATCAATTTCCAAATGTTCAATTGTTTTATTAGTATCATTTTGTTATTATTTTAAACATGTAGGAAATGCCACTCTATAAGGTATATCAATATCAAGTTCTCGCTTTATATGGAGTGGTGATTATTCTTCATCATTTATCATATCAACTTGATCCATTTAATGATTATAAAAATTTAATATACTCCATTTTTAGTAAATAAGGAAAGATTATTGGGAAACATAAATATGTTTTTGTTCAAGGTTTTCCATATGGATTTTAGTGTTAAATGTATTTATATAGATAGTTATATAATACAATCAATTAAATTAAATGGGAGCTAACTCGAGTCAATAATAGGGATAATAGGAAAAAAAGAGACTCAGAAAAAGAGATTATCTAATTGGAATGTGTATTAGTCAATTGTCATCAAAGGAATCAAATTAGAATTCAAAGCTTAGAAAAAGTTTATCTGAATATATGAAATCATAAAGTCAAGATATCCTGACGTATTATGAAATAGAAGATATTCTAGGAAGATGAGTGAAGAAGAGATGCCAAATTATCCTATAAAAATTTTACAGTATTTCTTAACTTTCTTGACAATAAGAGAATGTTTCTAACTAAAACTCGTAAATAAAAAACTAAAATTCATGGTAGAGATGAGTAGTAACATCTATTCTAACTTTTTGAGTTAATTCTATTTAAGGAAACTATAGCTTCGATGTTTTGTAGAATATGGATTACATTAAAGATTTCTTTCCGTATACTATTCACAATTGTAGTCTATAGAAACTAATTAAGATGAATCATGGATCAGAATCTACTTTAGTTTTCATAAAAGCATGTAACACATAATCAAATTCTTTTAGATAATAAATGAGAATAATAGAAGAGGAGATATAAAAAACATTTAATATTGAATATCCATTAGTTGATAAGATCTTAGAAATAGGACGTAATCCACTCATGCCAATTCCTCTATTAACAGATGATATTCTTAAACAATCTACCACAAGTTGGTTTCAATTAGAGTTGGCCTAAAGAATTACCGATTATACAACTGTAGAAAAGGTTCCCTCACTTGATGAATTAACAGAACATCTTTATTAACATTCACTACATTAATTTGATGTCACTAATATGAAACATACTTAAATATTATTTGAATTGAGATGGGTAGTCATTGATAATTTTCTTAAAGATCCCTCTATATTAGATTCTGATAATGTACCACTTTTATTTAGATTCTTGCTTTACATATTCTATTTCATCTATTAAAGATGCTTATTTAGTAGAAATGTTTTAATCATAACTAAAACATAAAAAAATCCAGCTATGTTTCTTTCTATGTATACCATTCTATGGGAATCTTATGTTGGCATGATGTGGGCATTGAATAGAGCTCTTAAGAAAATATTTAATAAAATTGACTTAATATTTGATGAATATTTTACTACCCATTTTCCTAAAATTACCTTTACAAGTGCTCTAGCCAGATTATGGTCATAAATTGTTATTAAAGGTACTAAGAATTCATAAATGGATTCGGTAGAAGCTGAATTATTTACTTCATTTGAAGTTCTTTTAGAGTAAAAAAGAATTATTTTATAATAATTTTATATGAAAGATCATTTTACAAAGGATCAGTAAATAATTGATATAAAACTCTATAATGATGATTATTTTAATTACTGTCCGAGTGCTGTAAATTATTTGTTAAATAAATTCACATCTAATATACTTGATTTATCAATACATGAGTAAAGCATTAATTGGATAGGACATTCAAATGTTAAAATTGGATCGTTATATGGGAAAATAATAGAAATAGTATTACAATAAGCTGATAGGATATATAGTAAAACATCAGTACAACTTTCGACTGATTATTAGGTGTTCAAAAGTTATATACTAGGTATAAATATTTAAAATGAAAATAGCTGATTCTAAATTTATGTAAGAAATTTTGAATTAATGGACTGTTTAAGTATGTTTGTTACCAAGAGGAATTGAATATCTGTATGAGAAAGTAAAAATAAATCTCAGATAATATATACTTTCTTGTCAATTAAATTAAGATATATAAGAATCTAATAATATTAATTTTGAAGATTACATTCTAGAGTCTAAGATTATTGGATAAAATGTTCAATAGTTATAGTTAAATGAAACTGATGAAATTGGATAGCATAATGCAGGAGAAGATTAATTTTTAGAAAATGCTATTTGTGAAATTTTAAAAGAAGAAAAGATTCAATAAAATGAATAAGTTATATCTAATCATATAGAATAAATTCCATAATAATCATTAATAAATTAACCTTCATACTATCCATTAAAATCTGGTAAATAGTAAAGTATACTTGAAGGTGATTATAATAAAATAAGAATGTTATCAACATTCACATCAAGTACTCGAGTCAGCCAGATTACTTAATTAAATAGTGTGTATAGTTAATAGATTTTGTCTTCATACAAATCTAACTAGAATATGAACTAAATTAAGGATATTAAAGCTAAATTAGAAAATAATTAATGGGTTATACATCTAAAAGATATTTATAATATTGAATATGAAAATAAAGTTAGAATTGAAAAAAGAAACAATTAAATTAAAATGAGGAATACAGTTAAATAAATACCTTAAGATTTAGAAGAATAATTGAATAGTAATGCAGAATTTACAAAAGTTTGGTCTCTAGAAGATACTATGTCTTTATTTGTCTCTAAAAATACGATAGATTAATTATAAGCAAGAAATCCAGAAAGAAGCTTTAGTGAAATGAAAATCGGTTAAGGATTGCTTGCATCTTATTTTATTTAGTAATAGATATGATAATTGTATTACATTTGATTGTATAAATAATTAATTTCCTTATTTAGTATTTGAAATCATTTTATTAATTGTTATTATTGCACTTTTGGAGATAATTACATTTCTTCATCTGAAAATATTGGATATATTGCATGTTTGATATTATTGTTCTTTTAATTATTCTGTTATTAACTTTGATCTTTTATTTCAGTATATTAAGATATTGATTCTTATAATTTTTTATGAGCTATAAAAAAAGGTAAATTCTTTTAATTTTGAATTCTTCCTGAATATGGTTGTTGAATTTGTTAAGGAGTTTTTATATTGGAACTTTTTGGAGTCTATAACTTCAGTTAACGACATGACCTGCATTTATAAGTAATTTTACTCTGGAATTGAGTTAATTTTACTATCGATGATACTATTTTGTATTTCTCTAGTTATTTGATTATTCTCTTCTAACCAAAATGGTTATTTAACAATATTTTAATTATCGAAATATTTTCTATTATTAAATATCCACTTAATACTCTTTGTAGAATTAGTTGTAGCCCAATATACCTATTATAAAGATTATAGTTATTAAAGTGGCAAGAATCTAAATGAATCTAGTAGTTTATTTATCTACCATTGTTTCTATAAATATACATACCTCTAAAGTTGCAAATTTGTACATAACCATAGCATCATTCCAAAGTACACAACTTATTTCTACATATATATTTTTGATGTCTTATTTTTCAATTTAACACACTCCTATACAAAGATTTAGTATTTGTAAACATTGATTCAACAAATTTTATAATTTAAATAAATAAAGAATTTTTTAATCTATAGTTATGTAGCCTGTTGTATTTTATAAATGATCTTCAAGCTTTTTTTATTAATACTCTCTATATTAAAGATTAGTATCTTTAAAGTTTTATTACTTTTTAAAGATTTTAAATTAATTTATTTAATTCTCTCGAGTTGACTCAGTATAATTTATATAAGTAATTTCCTAATCAAAGAGTGGATATTGCCCTATTTTACAAGAGTAAAACAATTTTAAATTTTAAGCTAACTTGAATAAGTACATTAAATAATTCTAAACAAATTACCCATGACTTTAAGTCTCAATTACTTATAGTTTATTATTACTTGAGATCATTTCATCTGCTACTATTTCTCCTATCTAAAATTCATATAAAACTAAATGTATTGTTAATGCAATCTTTACTGCCATCAACCCACTCAATGGTTTCTTAGATAGTTCCCCAAAAAATTATTATAAATATTCTTGTCCTGTTAAGTAAATTCCTTAACATTCTGAACCATATCCTTCAAAACATTCAATTAAGTATAATATATCAGTCATTAATATAGTTGGACTATTAGTCATCAATGAACTTTAATTAATCTTCTGTAAAAATGGAGTGTTCCCTTTTCCTATCAAGGCACCAATATAATTTGAAATTTTCTTCATATTTTAATTAATTATATTTCATTAATAAAATTATATATTTCTTGTTTATGTTTTTTTATGTAGAAGATTCATTATCAATATAATATATAGTCTTTTCATTTGGATTCTTAATAAGTTTATTAAAATTATATGTAATATAAATCAAAAACAATTTAAAGTATTCTTATTGTCCTCTAGCAACTTATTCGCTTCTTAAAATTAGCATTAAAAATAATCCTTATATTATTTTAATAAATTTTCCATTTTACGATTATAATTTGCTTAGTTCTCTAAGTTTGTTTAAAGTTCACTAATTCTATCATAACTCTATTGAATATTTTTTTCCAACGCTACAATTTTGTCTTTATATTCTTAAATTTCTTCATCTTTCTAATTAATTATATTCTAATTGGCAGATTATATTTAATCTGGGTATTACTAATACTATTATTAGAAATTATAGCTTTAAATCTTAGTAACTTTTGTATCTTAATTAAAAATATTTTAATTATTTGGTAATTAATTATTTGGTAATATAAATTTTTATTGAGGAATTTAAGAAAATATTTGTTACGGGTTTTATGGGGGTGTGATCAATTAAACTTTTTAAGCAGATAGTTATTAGAAAGTATTGATTTGGGGAGGAAAATTATTAGCATTAGGAAAACCTTATTATTTCCCTGGTTGAAATTAAGTAATATCAGCTGGATGCTTGGCCATAAAATGGCAAAGGCTTTTAAAATTTGGATTTAATATAGACTCAATTTTCTTCACTATGTATTTAGCTGATTTTCTTTAGCTTTCATCAGGACTAAACATCTCTTTCATCATATCCTTCCATTATTATGAAATTTGTAATGAATTAATTTTATTATAAATATAATTCTGATCTTTTTTATGATTTACTATAAGAGTTTAAGCATCCAATGCAGTTTTAACTACCTTAAATAATAGAAAATACCATTTATTAATTATTAGTTAGATAAAATCTCATAAAATGTACATCCTAAAGCCCAAATATCTATTGAAGATGTGTAATTCCCATCTCCCTCTAGAAGTTCAGGAGCTTAGAATATTCTTGAACCAAGATTCATTGTTTATTAGATCAAATCATTTATTGGTTTTGTAAGTCCAAAATCGATTAATTTAAATTCATTTTTTATGACAACAAAATTCTCTGGTTTAATGTCTCTGTGAATATACTTTAGTTCATGTAATTATTTTATAGCATAAGCTAACTAAAAAGTAATATTTATACGATATACCTGGAGGCATATTTTTTATCTATTTATAATATCAATATTTTAATTTTGTTTTAAATACTTATATAAGTCCTACTCTCCAACTTCCATTATTACAGCAAAATATTCTTGAATTTAACCTATTTCATAAATTTTAATGATTTGAGATTTCTCCATTGAATTTTTTTGTCTAATCTATTCTTATTATTAGTATAGCTTTTCAAAGAATTCTCTGACTTCCCTTTTTATGAATTATTATGTTTTAATTGCAACTAAATCTACATTATAATATCGATCAAGTGGTTAAGCAAGGAATACTTGTCCTTCTGCTCCTGTTCCAACACAATTTCTAATGAGGAATTTTTTCAATTTTCCAGTTTAAGGATCTTGAAAATATGATTAAAAGATAACTATATTTTGTTCTTGGTTATTATTCATCAAAATAAATAATATAGTAAATATGATATTAAGGAGATGATTTAATTATAGTCTAATTCTATTAATTGACAACAATAAAACAATATTGTTAAGTTTTTAAAGACCTAAACTTAAATGTATTATAATATATATAAATAGACAATAGAATCATATCAAACATTTTCATTAATATAAAAATTATAGAAAAAATATTAAGAATACATATTAAAATTAATGAAGTAGAAGTTATATGAAAAATTTGAGAATATAGTTTAATTTTGAAAGATTATAAGTTGTTTTAATGGTTTGAAATTTAAAGATACACAGATGATGAAAATAGGATTTGAAGATAAATTATTATGGATTATAAATATTAATATATTTATTTTAAAATGAGTTAATAAGAGTCAACTTCAATTAAATTAGTTGTAGTAGGAGATGGTAGTGTTGGTAAAACGTGTATACTTCTAAGGTATGAATAATAAATATAATAAAAATAGTTACACAACAGATAAATTTCCTATAGAATATGTTCCAACAGTGTTTGATAACTACACAACTTAATTAACTGTTGATAATTAGATGGTAAGTTTGAGTTTATGGGATACAGCAGGCCAAGAAACATATAACAAATTAAGAACTCTATCTTATGGATCAGCAGATATTTTTCTAATTGTATTTTCTGTGGCTGATAAAAGTTCATTTGATAATGCTTTAAATAAAGTAATGTAATTAAACAATATTAAAGTGGTACCCTGAATTAAATTAAGACGAATTATAAAAAATCCCGAAAATAATTGTTGGCAATAAAATAGATATGAGAGATGATAGCAATGAAAATCATATAAAAAAAGAAGCTGTAATTATTTTATTAATATTGTTAGGCTTAATAAATCTTAGGTAATCAAAAACTTTAATATTATGAATGTTCCGCATTAACATAAGAAGGTTTGAAGGCTATATTTGATGGAGCAGTCACTACAGCTTTGAAAGCCAAAACCTAATCTAATGTAGGGGCTAAGAATGGAAATAAGGAAATAGGTAGTGAAAATAAAAAGAAAGAGGAACCATGTTGTAACATCTATTGATTTTATTTACATAAATCATATCAATCCATATTTAAATGAAACATTAAGATTCATTATTTTAATGTTAAAAATTGTTAGCATATATGGTATTTTATGCATTACATCAATCATTTGAAAGGAATCCAAGATTTTTTCTTTTCTGCATTCACCTAATTAATATGTTCATTCAATTTCTTTTCTATTTTTTCACAATCTCTTTTATATTCTTCAATAATTGTCATTAAAAATGATTTATTTTCTTTGGCATTCATTCTAATGTCTTCCATTTCTTTTTTGGATTGTTAATGTTTTTCATCATAATATTAAAAACTCAAAAACTATATTTCTATTATAGTCGTATATAGATTATATACTTGGTTAAATTATATTCAAAATTCTATCTACTTATTAATGGTGATCTATTTGATTTTCATTTGATTCAGATTTAGAAGGACTCTAAAGTATTTATTATTTTAATTGCAGTCTATCTTTTATAAACACTGTGTTACTGCTAATCTATAACTAAAGTAAGCATATAGTCTAATTATTGTGTTTTTTTTTAAAACTATTCTTGGATTTCTTTCATTTTTTTCTTAAAAGAAGAATATGCATTTTCATCATTCAGAAACGAATCACTCATTTCTATAAATGAATTATTTTCAGAACGATTTATTGTTAATTATGGAGGAGAGCAATCTTATTACATAATTATAATTGATCTTAGATTTTAAATTTCTTATTCAAATCGAACGAACTTTTAATCAATCTAGATGTAGATATAATTAATTAATTAAATTACTTCATTTTTAGCATGATAATTAGTTGCATCTACTAATACTTAAATATTTCGAATTAAATCATCTACCATAGTGTTTCTGGTCATTTGTTTTTCTAACAAATCAAATTCAGAAATGGATGTATCAACATGATTAATGGAATTTTTCATATTAACTGATTTATGCTTCTAAAGATACTAAGTAGATAATGGATTAATTTTAATTACATTTTCAATAATCTTTTCCACTCTTTTTTAGAAATCATCAGATCTGCTACTCATTTATTTAATTTATTATTATAACTTAATATGAATATATATAAATAATAATATAATAAACTATTATATTTTGAATGAATCATCACTTGGATAATCATTAAATTACATATTAAATTAAATTGTACAATTTATTAAAAATTAATAAACATAAATCATTTTTTCTTCTTATCTTTTCCTTTGTTTTATCCTTTAGCTTAAGCTTCTACTTCTTCATCATCTTCTGAATCATCATCTTCACCATCAGCACCTGCATCATCTTCAGTCTTAAATTCTTTTATTCCTAAAAAATATTCAAGAGAATATGGCAATAATTCATCAACTATTTCTCTACCCACATCTTAATCTACATCCAATTAACCTTATAATGATATTTACTAATCCTTTCAATTATATAAATACTTCATCTTCTGGTAATTTATCATATTTCTCCTTATTTGAAATATCAATTGATCTAAAAAATAAAAAGAAACTATCATCATCAACTTCTTTTGAAATTACTCTAAATTATCCTGTCTTCTTATTTCTTTATTTCTATTATTATTTATATATATTTATTTTATACCTTCTTAACTAATTTCTTTGTTAAATTCTTTCCATCATGCCATTCAATTTTTGTCCCTTCTACTTTTATTAATTCATCATCCTCATAATAAAATTTCTTCTCCAAAATATTTTATTTGAAAAATAGATTATCTGCAAAGTAAAATTTAAGGAAAAAATCTGAATCATTCTCAGCCAATTAAAATTCTATTCTCTACAAATATTTGAATGCTTCCTCATCTCTCTCTGATAATGGTAATTCCTATAAATCAGCATTCTTAAACACTTTCAACCAATAATCAGGAATTGCTTTTGAATCTTTTGGAGCTTCATTGAATTATTATAATTCTTCCTCTGATAATAATTTTGATGCCAAACCGAATTTTTAATCATTCTATTATGATGTACCTAAAATTATTTCATCAGCCTAAATAATCATAGATATATAAATCATACTCTTTAATAAATTGGCATGCTCAATTTATCATATTTCGATTAAATGTTATCACAAGTACTTTCCATGTCCTTATCAGCTTATTTACATTTATTTAAATAATATCTAAGAGCTGTTACTTTTGCTCTATCTTTCAAAGGGATATTTGTAATCTTTTTTTTGATTTCCTACTCTAACTCTTTGTTTTCCATTATTAAAAAATTTAATTATTTAATTTTTATTATATATTAATATTTATTTCCACTTTTATATATATAATGTTATACTCAAAATATACTCTTCCTTTACTTGCCTAATACTATTTATCATAAATTAGTTAAACTATGTTGTAGGATAGATAAATTAATATATTGAGTAAAAATTCTAATATGGTTTTTCATGAATTGTTTTGTTATTTTAAATTTTATTTATTTCTTTTAATTAAATTAAAAATTATTTATTTAAAATTAAATTATTTTCATATTTCAGATAAAATATAATTTAAGATTTAATATTATTTTGAAATAAAAATATTTATTTTTAATTTATTTTTTCAACTTTTATTTCAGTTTTAAAAATAACTAAAGTTTATGAGAAAGGCATCATACATAAATCTAATTATGAATCATATTGACTAACTTGAATTCATGTACTCCTTAGAATCCTTTTATTATTAAAAAAAGTCATAATTAAATAATTAATTTATTATAAAATTAAATAATAGCTCCTTAACTTTATTGACCACATTATTTAGAGTTTCATATGAATTTTATGATCAAAGTTTAAGCGTATAATAAATTAAAATTTGCTTCCTTAATAGATAAACAATATATCGAAATTGGTATATATAAAAACGATTTGATATTTGAGTATATAATTTTATATTAAATTTGTTGGAAAATTGAATATGAATAAATGAATAGTATTATTAAAATTAAATAAAATAATTATGGCAGATTAAAAGTAGATCGAATAACTTAGATATGCAATATGGATGGCAATAATGTAAAGTACTATTTGAAATATTGATGTTAGATAAAAATGAATAAATAGTTTAGTTTTTTAATTCCCCAAAAATTTAAATAAATGTTAATGTAGCTTTAACAAATTAAGGTTTAACAGCACTTCATTAGGCAGCAAGTAATGGGAATTTGAATTTAGTTTAATTTTTAGTAGCAATTTAGAAGGCAGATATTGATCAACAAGATTTAGTAAATAAAAATGTAATAATTAGTTTGGAAGAACTCCTCTTCATTTTGCATGTGCAATAGGGAATTTAGCAATAGTGGATTATTTAATTTAATCAAAGGCATCAACAAATATTCAAACAATAGTATAATTGATATGAAAAATTAGGGAGGTGAGACACCAGTAATGAAAGCAGCCTAATTTCATCAATCACAGTTATTATATTACTTAATTGAGACACATTCAGATAAAATAAATTGGAATTTAATAAATAAAGTACAAGTTACAATAAAGAGTAGTTAGGATAGAATGTTTTAAATATATTTCGTATTTCTTGTGTGAATTCTTTGGAGAAACTGAATTAATTATCAATGCCAATAAATGATGTAAAGATTGAATTAATGGGTTTGATTAAAGGGGAAGAACAACACAATAATTAAAATTATGAGAATAATTAATTAAAGTGAGAGTAGTTTAAATAAACTAATTAATTATGTGAGTATATATGCACATAAATAAATAAATAAAAGAGTAATAATAATAATCATGTATGATTAAAAAATATATGTCATTTTGGATAGAAAATAGGAGTAACTAAAATTTTAGGAATGATAAATACAATTCGATCATTAGTTTTTTTTTTTGTTTGTTCTAAAATTAAATTACAATTAAGCTTAAGGAAAGAGTACTTCTTTATTGTTTTTATCTTTAATGAGTACATTTTCCAAACTAGCTTTTTATAATTTGTTAGGCTTTGAATATTTTAAATTATTACTCTGATACGGCTGACAATAGTATCAGTATTAATTTTTTAAGCATAAATGTAAGTGTCAAATATTTTTGGTTCTTCAGTATCTTCATCATCTTATTCTTCTTCTTTTATAATATTTTTAAGTTAGATTAATTATCTAATTTTATCAAAAAGAGTTTTCTCCCTCATGCTTTCACATCTACTTTTTTCAAACTCTTTAATTTTCTAATTAAGAATATATAAATTACTTGACTGTTATTAATTTATTGATTATTTTAAACAATATCTTCATCTGAATCTTCATCGAAACTAATATCTGCATCTTCCTAGTATGAAAATATTAGAGATTACTTTTTTTACTACTATTACTTTTTTTATAATAGCAGGTTCTGGTTAATCAGTATCTGCTTAAGATGTCTAAGGTTAAATTTAGATTTCATTTTTGCATTTAATTTCTCTGCCTTCTTAAATAGCTTTTAGATATCTTTGCCAAAGCTTATGTAAATATTATAAAAGGATTGATACATCTTAAAATATAAAGATTTCAGATTCACTCATTTGTAATTAACCTTTATCAGAGTTTCTCTTTAATTTAATAATGACTTCATTTATAATAGAATCGTAATTCTTAGCTGTTTCTAATACTTATTAATCCATTGCTAGTTTTTATAAATTATTAATTAAAATATATATTTAGAGAATTACATTATAAACTAAAAAAATAAATATATATATAATTATATAAAATGTTTAGAACAATAAGATTATTACCAAAATTAATAAGATTAACTTAGATGGTAACTTGTTATACTCTCATTTATAATTAATAGTAATATTTGAGATGTTCACAAATTAATACTTAATCGATCAAAATTGTAAATGAGAAAGATGTGAATGCAATATTAGCAAATCCATAATATTTCTCAAATACAATTATTATTTTAAATAGAAATATTATAGATGATATTCCAAAACATTTATCAGTCAAATTCTAAATATTTGATGGCACATTTAATGATTATGATTTAATAGCAGTCAATAATCATAGATGTCTTCTCTTAAAAATTAGAGGAGAAGAAGACTATTTAAAATTACTAAATTTTTTTACACCATTATAAACATTGAATAGTAAACAAGATGCTATTAATCTTATTGATCAAATGGATGCTAAAATAGTATTGAGTTACATTCCTTAATAAAATATAGTAAAATAGGAAGAACCAATTAATAAATTTGATACTTTCAAATAACGTAATTATAAGGATCCTTAATAATTAGAGGAACAATTTAGAGAACTTAGATATCTAGATTATAATCGAGAAGCATAATATTATATAATTAAAGATAAAAAAGTTGCTGAAGAATTCAGTCTTTCATCTAATGATATAGGAGAAGTTTATGTACTCAAATAAACTAGTATCTTTAATGCTAAAGAATCGTCTTTTTTTCATAATTCTAAAGAATACTGTATGAATAAAATTGAACCTGATCCTAATTTAGAAACAGCAGATACTTTTAGAATGAAAAAGAAATATCATTCTCTATCTGGATATATTAGAGAATCTCAAGAATTTCCGGTCTAATAATTAAATTTATAGAAATTTGTATAAAGATTGACTCTTACTGCTAATAATTATGTGAATTATGTTTTTAATAAATAATAAATGGATTCCTAATTGCTTATTTATAAACAAATTGGAGTTTAATATATTCTTCTTTATCATTCTCAAAATGAACTCAATCAAAAAATTATTAAAAAACTAATTAATGTTAAAAAATCTATGAATATTAAATAATAATAGTAATTTGCTATCATTTATTCAGATAATCTTGATCTAATTTAATCTTATTTTGGATTAGTTAGTAATGGAATTTCAGATGATGTTAGATTAATTGATCTTAATTCACATTAAACCTATAAAACATCTTATAAAATTGTCTAATTAGGATCATTTAATAAAAATGATAACCAATATAAATAATGTAAGAGATACTCTTTTGGAGATAAAGTCACTGTTAATAGATTAAAACAATTTATTGTTTAAACTACTAATTTTCACATCTAAAATGTACAACCAACATAAAACTATATAGAAGAATATTATGAAAAAACATTTGTTAAGGTTCCACTTCAAAAATTAAAAACCATCACTGCATAATCCTTAAAAATGACACGATTGACAGGATTTGATTTTATTTATTTTTATAAGCCAGGTTGTGCTGCTTGTAATATAGTTGCTGAAACCTTAGATAAAATTGCTGACAATTTATATAATCCTAATTCTTATAGAGTTAACAACATTTCTAATTTTCAAAAAATCTCTTTAAAAAAGTATTAAGCATATTAATAAATAGATATAATATATTAAATGAATCCGAGTTTTTGCCATCTCCAATTTAGGCTCCTTTAATCTATGTTTTCTAAAATGAAAAAATTAAATAAGCAGATTTAGTATAAAATAAGATAAATCCAGGAGATGAATCAAAAATGCTTAACTTCTTAACCAAGTTCATAGAAAATCTTTGAATATTATATGGGTTTTTAAATATTATCATTTATATTTAGTTTATTCATCTACTTTTTAAAACTCAATTTTAGATTTATACAAAGTCTCAGAGAAAACTGTTTTTCTTGATTATTAAACTAGTAAATATTTGTAATTTAATATTTACAATTAGACGATACTGTTTTTCTGAGAAATATATTGTTTTCAAAACAATCTGTTTAACATGCAGCTTACCTCTTCATTCTTTTTCCCATTCTCAAATTTGCTAGTTCCATTTTTTTCTCTTTTGCCTCATAGATCGGTGTCTTAAGACTTAAACAAATTAAGCTTTATGATTTTGTTAGTGGCTTTAATTTGCCTTGTGACATCATACTCATATAATTTTATTTTGTGTCTAATTTACGAAGTAGTTGAGTATTTCTAAAAGTTCTTGAAAAATGTGTGTTATTTAGAGGTTTTTATTGATCTTCAACGGCTATGTTTGCAGGCCGATGAGAAGTAATTACATCTAAATCATGATTAATAAGCAAATAATTATTAATAATCATATCATTAAATACCAGAAAGGAAATGGGGTATTAATAATTATAAAATGAAATTAGAAATATATATATTTGGATGTATTAAATAATATGATTTTTTATTAAGCCAAACTTAATTTATATTAAAAAAATAAAAAATTATTTAATATCATCATGGATACATAATTATCCTAATTAAGTAGAAATAGCCATAAATATATAACTAAATGTACTTTAACATATGAAATATTATAGTAACCAATTCATAAGATTGAAAAATTTCTTTAACGATTCATTTGAAATAATTAAGTTGGTCCAAAATTTAAAACAAATTATTGTTGATCTTTGTTGAATTTTGATTGTAGATGAATTTTACAAACAAAAAATGACACTTACTTAAAGAGCAATTGCTAAATACAAATAAGGCAAGTATTATTTAATGGATGAAATAATAATAAATTAAAAATTAGAAGATAAAGTGTTGGTTTATTTATAAATTGAGAAGTCTTTCATGAGGACTAATTAAATTGAGCATGATTAATTAATTTAATTTAGTTTGGATATAAATAAGTCTTCTTGATTTATTTAAAATGATAAATATATATATCATAATATAAATGGGTTGTGTTTGCAATAGTAATTCTTTAAAGACATCAGTTTAAAGCACTTAATTATCAATAAAGTTAGCTGAATAATATAAGAGTAAAGAATTTTTTGTATACGTTAAAGATAACAAGAATATAAGGACATAAGATAGTTTAGAGGACGTCTCCTAATCTCTTTGTAATATTGGATAAGAAATTACAAGTTTGGGTTAATTAAGACCTGAAGTTGAGGAAAAGATAAAGGAATTGGGAACATTTAAGGCCATAGAAGAGATAGAGAGTAATTCATCTAGCTATTAATATCTTTTATGCTAAGATGGTTCTATTTTTTATGGTTCAGTGTTAAATGGGATTAGAAATGGCATGGGAAAATAACATTGGTTGAGTGATGGAAATTATTTAGAAAGGTAAAATATAGTTATATTATGTTAGTATATGGATAAATGATAAGGCTAATGGTCCAGCAAGGATGATTTACTCAAATGGAGATGTGTAATTTACTCAGTTATATTTAGTTTTGAAGGTCATCTAATTGAGAATAAAGCTAATGGATTTGGAGTATTTAAAAACAAAAAAAAAGAAGTTAGAGGTAATTTTAATTGTTATTCAGGGTATTGGGTTGATAATAGACTATAAGGTAATGGGATAGAAATGAGAAAAAATGGAATCCAATATGAAGGTTAATTTAAAGGTGGAATAATTGAAGGACGAGGTTAGTTTACATTTCCAGATGGTAGAAAGTAAATATATAAAATCATTTTAGATATTATGGAGAAGTATAATAAGGTCTGATTCATGGATAAGGTTTGATGACATGGCCTGATTTTAGTTATTTTAAAGGGGAATTTAAATACAATCATTTGAAAGGTTACGGATGTTATACTGATGTAGATTCTCAGACTTACTTTGGATAGGTATACATTCATATTCTAAATTTAGTTTTTTTCTGTTTACCATCAAGATGTCAAATAGTTGGAAATATTTTATAGCAAAGATTCAAATATACAAGAATGCAACAAACTCAAAAAATTTAAGAAATAATATGGTGATGCCCAACAATGAATAAATGAACCTCTTTATTTTATGTTGATTTTAATCAAATAATTTACTAGTAAATTATTAATGGTGACAATCTGTAAATATAAAATAAATTGAGTAATTCATAAAGTGGGAAATTCCCAATAAAATAATTAATTAACTATTTCAAGAGTATTGCAATCTAATTCTAAACCAATGCAAGAACAATTCTTAATGGTATTTGTATATCCAAATTAATTAGTTAATGAAAATATAGCACCCTAAATTGATTAAATTTATTTACTCCATGAGTGAATATTAAATATACTCCCTTTCCTTTAATTTACTATTTTAAATAATTCATTATTCTATTCTTTAAATCATTCCAATTCTCTCCATTTGGTGCTTAATACTTCATAGTAAATAGAGTTTCATAAATGCTTTTGTTTTCAGATGAATAAACTTTATTTTGATGATCTCCAAAATTCAACTCTCTTAATTCTGTACTTATTTATATCTTTTCTCCTGATCCTAAAGCCAATTCAGCAGTTATTCTAGCTCTGCTTAAATCTGAACTGTAAATACCAGAAAATCTATCTCTTAATATTTAAAATGCTTTAGATAATTCTTTTCCCTCTTTTAAACCTAATATCATATATATTTTATTTAACCTTATTCTGTCAATTTTACATCGTGCCAACCACTCAATTATTTTGTAAAATTTGCTTCAGTCTCTCCATGTCTTATCAAAATCAACACTATTTTATCTGAATCTAATAATTTCTATATATCCATCTTCAAACTATCAAATTTATCCATATTTAAACAATTTTATTATAAATAAATATTTTCATCTCATATTTCCTATTCATTCTCCTCTTAAGGCATCTCCCATTTAAATAATATTTATTTCATCTCTTTTTTCTCTCTATCATATTCCAAACCTACACAACTACAATTTCCTATTGAATTCTGTATACCCAAATAATATGTAATACTACATATCAATCCCTTTTAATTATTATTATTTATTTACTCCATGTGAAAACATCAAATAAGTCCCATTCTCATTACATTTCTCTCTCACTAATTACATTGCCCTATCGCAACTTTCTTACCAAGATTCCCCTCCTGGAGCTTTGTATGAAAATGTGAATATAATATCCTTTGTTTCTTAATCTAACATAGAATATGCAATGTTCTCATGTTTTCCAAAATTAAGTTCTCTTTTATAATATTACAAAATAACCTCAATCGAGAATCTTCAATAATTAAACTATCATGAGGAAATCCTAAACTTATTTAAGCTGTTTCTTTAGCTCTTCTTAAATCGGATGTATACACTCCTTTGAATTGATCACGAAAAGGTAATAATGCTTATAATAATTGATTTGATTATTCTCTCCCTCAAATTAGACTAAAAAATGTGATTATACCTCTGATGGTCAATCTACTATCAGTCCAACCACAAATAGTGTTGCTTAAATTTTGATTAGTTTATCCATGTCTAACAAACAAAATATTCGTAGTATGTTTTTATTGCATCAATTGTTGAATATGATTTTTTAATAGTTAGTATTTATTCATAGATTAAAAATATTATAAAAAATTCATGATTAACAATCCATCTAAGTTTTTAAAGATGCCAATCTTCGTTTAATATCTTCTCTTAAATTACATGCTTCTTCTTTGATTCTTCTTTAAAAATAATATGAATAGATAGATACCTATCTTCAATCTATACTTTTTTAAATGGAGAATTTTGAGAGTATTAATTTTCTGAAATAGGTGATGTTTGACTATATAAATTAGACTTTAGTCTTCTATTGTAAGGCAAATGTTATTATTCATAAGAATCTTGAGTCTAAAAGTTATTACGTTATTGTTATGGTAAATCCTCTCTAAAAGATTCATGAATCATATTCAATTCATCCATTAGTTTATTTCTGGAAACAACATTCTACTAATTCTCAATTTTAATAGATTAATTCTCTTTCAATACTACATACTATATTTTTAATGATTACATCTTTCAATCTGTAATTTTTATTTATCACATAAATCTACAAAATACTTTTCAATATCTTTAATCTTCTTTTCATAATCTCCAACTATCCTTGAATATTCCATTTACAATTAATTATACTCTTATTTCTAATCATTAAGTAATGTAGAACTGATCTCCACTTACTTTCTTAATTAATCATTATCTCCATTGATACTACTACTCTATAGATTTCTAATAGGAGAACCCACTTTACTATAGAACAACTAAAACATTACATTTTTATTGCATTCTCAACTCTTTCAATTATTATTAAGCTAATGTATATTATTCCTTCAAGATTCTAACTTCATCTCCCTCCATCTAATAATGAACCAATTAATCTTTCGTTGTTGCTAACTCCTATTTTAAATAATCACTTTATATCATATAATCTATATATACTATTGCATCTACAATTCATGTTCCACTTCTTTTTAATTAGATATCAATATTTTATAATTATTTATTTGTTCCTCCTAATTCCCCAATTACTATGAAACACTATCGTACATTTATTTTAAGTTCTATACATCATTTTATTACTAATAATCTATATCCTTCTGTTTCAATATTACTACATTTTATTCCTTTACTAATAAATTCTTCTTTTTTAATAGATTGCTTAACCAATGCATAAATGCCCAATTTAATACTCTATTGTCATATTTCTTGCTTAACAATATTTCATTCTATCTCTTCATTTTACTATAATTTGCATCATTTTTCAATGTATCAAATACTAAAAACTATTAATTCTATTCATATACATCTCTATAAAAATTAAGTCTCCCTCTTTTCTACAACCTTAACGCTTATCCAATTCAATCTTGATAGTTTTTAATATTCTCTAATCCATTACTTAAATTCTCTCATCTTTATAAAGAAATTCCTATTTAATTTAATTTGATTCTCTCTATATTTATTCTATTTCCAATTCTCTCTCAATTAACTAAATAACTTTCTTAACTTTATCTATCCTCTCTATTTCACTATTTTATTCGCTCTCTCCTTATGATAATCACAATTCTATCTCAAAAAACGTATTAAACCTTTCATCTACTTTGTACGTCTATTATTTATATGTTAATAAATTATTTGCTATTTTTAATTCTATTTTTTAATCCATAAAGTCCATTTACTGAAAACCTATAATAATTAATAATATTATTTTACTTTAAATAACTTAATTCTATTAAATTCATTTATTGCAGATTAAGTAATTTATTAATAATCTTTAAAACTAAAATTGTATTTTAGATAATTTTATTTCAATTTAATAAAACATTTTCTTTTCACATTTTGATTATAGAATTGAATTGATATTTTAAGATTCTTATCATATTATTTTTTTTCTGATATATATTGTTTCCATTTCATCCAAAAATTAATAACAGTCCTAAGTTTTCTAACATCATTGAGTTAATTTAATAAGGCTTTGTTTTAGATATAAAATTTCCATCCCTTAAAAGATTCCTTCAATTATTTAGTTTATTTTCTAACAAGAATGCTATTCAACTTTTTAGAATACTTAGCAGCTTTAGAGAAAGCATCTAAAAAATTAAATTTCAACCTAGCATCTCTCCACTTGATTGCCATATCCATATCAACTTCGTGTTCATATATTTAATTTAAGAGTTCTAATTAATCATTAGTAGTTCCTTATTCTAATTGTCTAAGTTCCGCTATTTGTTATACTAAATAATATTTTTTATTTATAATTACTTCTTGAATTAATTTTATTTTAATTTGAAATAATCTCTCCATAACATTTCTCCTTTTGTTCATATTTTTCATTATAGAGATTTAATTCATCTAATTATTCTGCTTATGATTATACTCTATCTTCCAACTACACAATTAATTGATTCTACTATTTAACCTATTGAATAAGAGTGGCTATTAGTTTTTCTCTATCCTCTCTGTTAAGACTTCTCATTGGAGGAACTTAGATTAAATCAGTTGATGATCTACCAAATTATGCTGTACTTTTAAATTATACTGATCCTTTAGAGGCAGATTCTTAAATTCTTACTTTCTTATCACTTCCTCTATTTGATGCAATATATAATTAGTTTGATGATGGAGATTTCAATATTTAATTATCATTTTTTATTACACTTGACTCTCTTGATAAATATTTATAGGCTGCAGTCATATTTGTATTATAAGCTTAAGGAAATATGGTTAGTTGACTGTTGCTTTTTTGATCGTTTAATTTCATTTTTAATTTATTTTATTTTTTAGTTATTAATGAATCCTGAAACAGACTAATTGAATTATGAATCAGATACTCCATAGCTTCCTTATAATTATGATGTAGATGCTCGATTTTATTTGCCTATATCAAATTAAATTTACTAGAAATGCTTTAATCAATATACTTATCATCCACCAACCTTTTTACTTATGCCATCATAACCAATTTATTAACCATGTCCTTAAGTTAAGAAGACTAAGAAAAAGTAAGTTAATAATAAAGAAGTTCAAATACTTAAAGCAAAAATTATGGAATTAGAAATGAGATAACCTGAAGTTAAAATAGTTAAAGAACTTGTCACTGATACTGAATAAGTTTATATATATATATATCATAATTATATTATAGATTACTAAATTAGAAAAAGAATTACGAATGGTTAAAATATAATTAGAACATGAACATCAAAATAATGCATAAAAAGATAGAACCATTTCTGATCTCAGAGCATAAATCTAAAAAAATGATTTATCTAGAAGTTCTAGTTTAGTATCACTATAAACAACACTTGTTGAAAGAGAAGTATCAATTATATATAATTTATATTCTTTTTAAAGAGATAAATTACTAAATAAGATGGAATCATTTCTTAATTATAAGCAGATATCAATCTTCTAAGAGGAGAATTAGAAGATGCACATCATCGCATTGAAGAATTATAGATAACTCATGAAGAAGTTACTGTTGAAAAAATGACCTATCTTTCTAAAGTATTCATTGAACTATTTATTATTATTAAATAGGAAGTAGAAACATGAAAACTAAAATTCATTATTCTTAATAGAGAATATCATGAAACCTAAGAAAAACTTATGTTAGCAGAAGCTGAATTAGAATCAATCAAAAAAGGAGAAGTTAAAGAAGTTAAAGTAATTCTATTAATCTTATCTAGTAAATTGTTGTTGAAAAAAAAGATAATATTGGAAGAACTGTTAATTATAAATAATCACAATTAGTTTAAGTTAGAAAAAGTGGATTCTTAAATACATTATAATGAATGATAAACACTTAATATAAATATAATATAAATTTAATTAAAATAAAATTTATTGCAAATGTTATAGAATTTGTAATAAAACAAGAATAATATTGTCATTGATGCTCCTATTCTAAATTTTCCAAATAGAAAATTTGAATCAATAAATAAAATTGGATAAGGATCACAAGGATCTGTATATTTAGCCAAATCAATAAATTGGGGAATTAATGATTAAAATTAATATGCATTAAAATGCTAAGGAAATTCTAAAGATAATGAAATTCAATTTATTGATAACCTTATATAATATCAGAATCAATATGAAAATTCATAATAAAATTATTAACCATCTGGATTAATTAGAATTTATGGAAGATATAAATGGAACAATTAGGATGTTTTCATAATGGAAAAAGGAGAATAAGATCTATTTGCATTCATTAATGAATAATAATAATTAACATTTCAATAGAAAGTTGAGATTTTAATTTAGGTATTATTAAATTATTAATATATATTAGATATCTTAATCTATATAATTTTTACATTAATAATAATTAATACATAGAGATATTAAACCTGAAAATTATATTAAAATAGGTAATTAATTTAAACTTATTGATTTTGGATTAATAAGAGGGGATTAAAGAATATAGATGACTAGAAACATTGGAACATGTCTTTTTTAAGCGCCTGAATTAGTTGAAGGAAGACAAGATTATTCAAAATCAGTTGATATTTGGGCACTTGGTTGTTTATTTTATGAACTTTTGACAAAATAACCATTTTTAAAAGGTATTTAGTTTCTTTTATCTTAGCATAAACTGCATTAGAGGTTGAAAATATAATTAAAAATATTAAAAATAATGATCAATATATTAAAAATAGATTAAATTATTTAATTAATTAATTAGATGATAAAAAAGAGGAAATATAAAACTTATTAAGTAAAATGTTAAATCCAAATGATTAATAAAGAATCTAAATTAATTAAGTAATTGAGGCATTAAAAAATATGGTTTAAAATATCCCTATTAATCAAAATTTAGTTTAATAAAATAGATAATTAAATTTACCTTTATAAAAAGATATCAATATTCAAAATGGTGAATAGTTTTAATAGGGTATTATTAATAATAATTAATAATTTTAATAAGTGATCAATCAAAATTAAAATGCTAAATAGTCTTTATAAATTAACAATAATTAATAAATTTAATAAGTGATCAATCAAAATTAAAATGCTAAATAGCCTTTATAAATTAACAATAATTAATAAATTTAATAAGTGATCAATCAAAATTAAAATGCTAAATAGTCTTTATAAATTAACAATAATTAATAAATTTAATAAGTGATCAATCAAAATTAAAATGCTAAATAGTCTTTATAAATTAACAATAATTAATAAATTTAATAAGTGATCAATCAAAATTAAAATGCTAAATAGCCTTTATAAATTAACAATAATTAATAAATTTAATAAGTGATCAATCAAAATTAAAATGCTAAATAGTCTTTATAAATTAACAATAATTAATAAATTTAATAAGTGATCAATCAAAATTAAAATGCTAAATAGTCTTTATAAATTAACAATAATTAATAAATTTAATAAGTGATCAATCAAAATTAAAATGCTAAATAGCCTTTATAAATTAACAATAATTAATAAATTTAACAAGTTATTAATTAAAATTAAAATTCTCTATAGTTTTAATAAATTAACATTTATTAATAAATTTAATAAGTTATTAATTAAAATTTTTAAGAGCTTTTATAAGTTATCAATAATTAAATGAATAAATAATAAGAGGAAATCAAATAGATCGGATTAAATATAAATGGCTAATTTAATTAAAATCAATTAAAGATAATTATTTAAGAATAATTTAACTAACAGTAAATTTAGAATTAATTTCCTTTATAAGATTTAATTAAAGAAATTTGTCAATAAATGTAAGGACAATTTGCTGAATTAAAGTAATAAACTCTAAATTAGATTTTGAATTAATAATAATAATATAATGAAAAAAACCAAAATTAATTTTAATAAATTAATCTATAATCTGCCTAAACTTATAGGTAAGAATAAGAAATCGAAAAATTGATGATTTAAATTAAAGAATCATAAGGCATTATTATATCTCAAAATACAAATTTGTTTTAAACTTAATTAAAAGAGAGAGAACAAAATTTATAAGATTAAATGAAGAAAATTAAAGAATTAGAAATCATAATTTAAAATTCAGATCAAAAACTCAAAGATGAATTTAATAAAAATAATAAGCTTGAGGAAAAAGTTAAACAATTAGAATTATAAAATCAATATGAATAATCCATTCTTAAAGATTAAATAAAAAGCCATGATCAAATTATAATAGAATAAAAAAATCGGATAAAAGAATTAGAAACTATTATTACAAATTAAAATTAAAATTAAAAAATTACAGAAGTAAGTTGCAGTAATCAAAATTTACTTAAGTTTAAATAAGACTTAGAAAATAAAGTGAAAGATTGTGAAAAATAAATCCAAGACTATTAGAAAAAAAATTAAGACTAACCAGATTAATTAAAAATAATTTAATCTTAGATTTAAGACGTAAAAAATCAATTGTAATAAAGTTAAAATGGATAAAATTTATTAATATAAGAACTTGAAGGAAAAATTTAAGAACTTTTAAAATAACAAATTTAAAAAGATTAAAAAAACACCGGATTAGAAAATTTATAATTTTAATAATAGCCGAGAATTTAAATAGAGAATATAGAAAAGTTATTCGCTATAATTAAATCTTTAGAAGAAGCATAAAATTAATTAGCTTTACAGATTATCTAATAACTTAACTAAAATAATTAAAAATTACAATAATTTGAGAAATTAATTGAAAATATAAATAAGAATAATGGATAGAAATTGAAAAATTAATAATTTAATTATAAAGATCAAAAGGAAAATTTTTAAAAAGTCAATTCATAGTAAAATTAGCAAATTAAGGATTTATTAATTAATAATTTAGGTCTAAATAAGCAATAAAACTCATAAATTAAAGTAAAAAAACATAATTAGACACTTTAAAAAACTCCAGAGTATAATGAAAAAATATAAGATATAATAAATTAATTATTAAAGGATCAAAATACATAAGGAAAAAAAAAAAAATAAGAGTTCTAACCAAATTAATTTTAAAATAATAAGAAATGAATTGAAAATCGCAAGCAATCAGAAATTGTACAAGAATTTTTGAAGTTATTTATAAATGTTAATCAAATCATAATAGTAGTTACTTTTCTTTTTTTAAATGAAAAATTTGTATCATATTTGATAAACATACATGTTAATGACTAGATATCAAAATTTTTTCTCTAATTATTTTGAGACTCTTTAAGTTCTGGTGCTTGAAATTTCAAAAAGCTAAATTATATTGATTTTATTTAACAATATTTTTTATTTTGATTATAGATTCAGAGTTAAAAGTATCAAAAAGTTAATTTAACAAATAATAGATCAATTTAGTGATTATTTCTATTGGCATCGAATGAACATATAAGCTATTTTGCAAATCATTATATTTTAATATTTTAAAAAATCAATTTGATTTGTTTATCAAATTTTAATATGTTTGAATTTTTCATTTATTTTTACATTATTGAATTTGTAACTCATATAGCCTAAAAGAATGTAAAAAATGTTAAAATTTTAAGTTCATCAAGCATAAATTTGTATTTAATCATATGATATCAAAATAATATAAAAAAAGGTAAATTAAAAAAATAAATAAAGAGATAGAAAATTTTAAAAAATCTAATTTAGATTATAAGATTATTAAAAACTGGGCTAATTACAGATTAAAAATTTAAATAAATTAAAAATTTGTTTATTAAATTTAATTTATTCCTAAATAAGGATTCTATTCTAATTCACTTTTTGTTGAAATTTTTTATAGGAGATGAATGCCTCATTTCAACTTTTCTGAATGTACATTTAATCGCATCATCATTTTGATTTTATTTTAACTCTTAATTATTGCTTAAGTTTGTTTTTGTTCTTTTTATAATGGCTTTTATTAAGTTTATTTTTTTAATTTAATTTAATAATAAATTCCTATTCTTTGGAGTTATTTTCTATTCCTTTTAAAAATTCATTCTGAAGATTATATTGATTCTGATTAATTTCTTTTTTTTAATAGATAATATTTTCACTGTTCATTTTTAATTTCGAATTTAATCTTAAAATTAAGGATTATTTTATAATAGTTAAGTTAAACAAGTTATTGATTAATTTTATTCTTTCTATTTGAATATTATCAAAATCTTAAAGTTATCCTACTAAAGATAACATATGTAGCTATATAAAATTTGGTTACTCATTCAAATTTCCAAAAGTTTGAGTTTTTCAAGGAATACGAATTTTTGATTCAAATATTGGAGTTTAATTTTAGATATTACTAAATACTTAAAATTAATTGATGATTTTATTGATATTAAATAAATTATGTGTTGATAAAACATTTTCTNCATATTTGATAAACATACATGTTAATGACTAGATATCAAAATTTTTTCTCTAATTATTTTGAGACTCTTTAAGTTCTGGTGCTTGAAATTTCAAAAAGCTAAATTATATTGATTTTATTTAACAATATTTTTTATTTTGATTATAGATTCAGAGTTAAAAGTATCAAAAAGTTAATTTAACAAATAATAGATCAATTTAGTGATTATTTCTATTGGCATCGAATGAACATATAAGCTATTTTGCAAATCATTATATTTTAATATTTTAAAAAATCAATTTGATTTGTTTATCAAATTTTAATATGTTTGAATTTTTCATTTATTTTTACATTATTGAATTTGTAACTCATATAGCCTAAAAGAATGTAAAAAATGTTAAAATTTTAAGTTCATCAAGCATAAATTTGTATTTAATCATATGATATCAAAATAATATAAAAAAAGGTAAATTAAAAAAATAAATAAAGAGATAGAAAATTTTAAAAAATCTAATTTAGATTATAAGATTATTAAAAACTGGGCTAATTACAGATTAAAAATTTAAATAAATTAAAAATTTGTTTATTAAATTTAATTTATTCCTAAATAAGGATTCTATTCTAATTCACTTTTTGTTGAAATTTTTTATAGGAGATGAATGCCTCATTTCAACTTTTCTGAATGTACATTTAATCGCATCATCATTTTGATTTTATTTTAACTCTTAATTATTGCTTAAGTTTGTTTTTGTTCTTTTTATAATGGCTTTTATTAAGTTTATTTTTTTAATTTAATTTAATAATAAATTCCTATTCTTTGGAGTTATTTTCTATTCCTTTTAAAAATTCATTCTGAAGATTATATTGATTCTGATTAATTTCTTTTTTTTAATAGATAATATTTTCACTGTTCATTTTTAATTTCGAATTTAATCTTAAAATTAAGGATTATTTTATAATAGTTAAGTTAAACAAGTTATTGATTAATTTTATTCTTTCTATTTGAATATTATCAAAATCTTAAAGTTATCCTACTAAAGATAACATATGTAGCTATATAAAATTTGGTTACTCATTCAAATTTCCAAAAGTTTGAGTTTTTCAAGGAATACGAATTTTTGATTCAAATATTGGAGTTTAATTTTAGATATTACTAAATACTTAAAATTAATTGATGATTTTATTGATATTAAATAAATTATGTGTTGATAAAACATTTTCTATTTTAATTCTACCTGCAGAATTATATATAAGCATTTTTTTGATAAGTTCATATAATATATCATCTATTTTCAACACACTTAATCTTTAATTTAAAAAAAGTGATTTATTTAAAACTTAATACCATTTATTGACTTAATTTGAGTTCACATAAAATTAATACCATTAATAAAGGTTTCCCTCAAAGAATTTCATAAAATACACAAATATCAACAGAAAAATCATAATCAATTTTAACATCTATAATTTGATGCCTAAAGGAGAGGTGTTCTTATTTTAAATGTTTTGAAAACTATTGAAGTCTATTTTATTAATCCAAAATCAATAAGTTTAAATTAATTACCTATTTTAATAAAATTTTCAGGTTTAATATCTCTATTTATAAATTATTATTAATGTAAAAATTATATAGATTAAGATATCTAATATATATTTATAATTTAATAATACCTAAATTAAAATCTCAACTTTCTATTGAAATGTTAATTATTATTATTCATGAATTTTTTTAAATCTATTTCTCCTTTTTCCATTATTAGAATATCATAGATATTTTATTTAAATCTTTCATATATTCTAATTAATCCAGATGGGTTATATTTTTATTAATCTATATTAAATTGATTTTTATATTGATTCTGATACTTTATACGTTCATCAATAAATTTCAATTTCATTATCTTGAGCCTTTTTTTTTAGCATTTTAAAGCATATTATATTTAATCATTAATTTTCAAATTTATTGATTTGTCAAAATATAATGATCTTTGTCCTACTTTTCTTAGTAGTTCTAATTTTCTAATTATGAAAGTTTGGAAATAGGTATAAAAATTTAATTATTGTTGTTGTTGGCTAATTCTATTATATCTTCAATAAATCCTATTATTGTTATATTTTTATAACTTATTATTATTCATTATATTTTAAAGGGAAATCGATAAATAGGTATATTTTTTGATAGTTTGCTTTTTTTACACAAAAAGCCATATCGAAAAATTGAAAACTCATTATTTTTGAAACTATTTGGGTGACTATAACTACATTATTATCTATATTTGAATCAATATTAATTTAAAATGATCCTGTTATTATTCATCCCTTTACTATAGAATTCTCTCCCAAATATTCTTTCCACCATATAAATTTCAAGTATTTACTTATTACTTAAATTTTTATTGTATTCTTGTTATTTGTTATATTTGTTGATTGATAAACCTCTCATAGATATTTTAATGATTAAGCTATAATATTTTAAATTAATTAAGGATATTTTTATTTATAAGGTAAACTATAATTGTTGAAAACTTTTATTGAAACTTCAAATCAAATATTTAAGATCATTTATTAAGACACAATTTATAAAGTTTACTAACTGATTATTAAAATTATAATTTTTTCTAAGTTTTTTATTTTTTAAATTGAAATGCTTGAATATTTTTTTAAAATAATATCTCTATTTTTTTTTTTAATCCTCTTCAATCAACTTTTCAAACTATGATTTTAATTCAAAAACCCAATTAATTTATTTTATTTCTATAAATCTAAATTTTAAATCATCTTTGGTAAAGTAAGAGTCAGTTATAAATCCTATTTTTACAAAGTTCAATGAACACGTTACGTTTATTTCTCCCAAAGTTTATTATCAATTCATTTTTAAATCTTCAATATACTTCATTAAAGTGTATTCTTTCTTAAATTAAAAAAAAAATATTCATTCATAGTTTTTTTGTCTAAATTTATTGAAATTTAAATATATACAATTGATTTTAAGAACAATTATGAAAGTATGTTCTTATGTTATTTATTAATCTTAAAATTAAAGAATTATCTATCTTAATTATTTTTGTTGATTTAAGAATTATTATTTTAATCATTTTGATTACTATTAATTTTCATTCATAAACTAAATTTTATTTAATAAGTTTAAATGAAAATTTGTTTCATTTAAATTTTCTTAATTACAGAATTTTTCTTATAATTATTTGAATAAAAAATAAATAAATTTTAAATTATTTTCAAATCCTTTTTCTACTTTTTTTTAGAGGTATTTTATCTTTCTCTCTCTCTTTTGAAATTTAATTTAATTTATTTCATTTTAGAAAGAGTCAATTTTTTTTTGAAGAATTTCATAATAGCCTTCTAAAAAACTTTTAAATTATTGATTTTCCATAAGTATTTTTTATTTCTGTCTCACTTAAATTGTTCTATTTAAAATCAAGTGTTACATTTATTCAAAATATTATGTATTCTAAGGTGGGATATTTTTTTGGCCTTTTTTTTTAAAATTATAGGAAGATCAGGACTTTTATTGTCATTTAGTAGAATTTTAACTTATTCAATGATTATTGTTTGCACGAAGGTCGATTATATGGATTCTTGTATATTTATTTATAATTATAATTAATGAAGCAATAGTACTTTTCTTTAGGTAATTTTAAAATTATACACCTTATCTATCAAAGGTCTTTAATTGTCATTAAAATTCAAAATTTTAATATAAATTATATAATATCAATTGAAAGTTATGTTAATTAATTTTTTATTAACAAAAACTGAATCAGTTTTTTGTTTATCATTTAATTGATTATTTAAAATTAAAGTGATTCTAATATTATATGTATATTATTGTACCATCAAAAAATAATTTATATGATAATATTTCATAAAAAAAATATCATATTTTTCTGTCACATTAATATTACCCTCTATAAGTTCAGATGCTTTAAATATTAAAATACCTTATTATACTGTTATTAAATCAAAAAAATTTATTGATCTTCAAACCATGTGAAAGTCAATAAATTTAAAATAATCTCCAATTTTTATGTAAATTATTTAAGAATTTAGAAATATTATTCTGAAATTTACAAATTCAATCACAAAGACAAATATAGAGTGATTTTCAAAATAGATTTTGTTGATTATTTTTCTATTATTTGAAGTTAAATGATCATCATATGTTTTTTATGCATATTAAATTAATAATCAATTAATACAACACAAATATGAGAAAAAGAAAATTTATTAAAAAAAGAATTTAATTTATATAATTTAGTTTAGATTTTTTATTTTCAAAGAAGTTTAGATTTTAATGAATAATAAGAATAATTAAAATTATAAAAGAATTGAAAAGTATGAAAAATGATCTTAATTCTACAAATAAAAAATTCTTAAAAATCTAATTTAGTTTATAAGATTTTAAAAATTGAACTAAAATGAAATGAAGGAGAATTTTGTTAATAAAAAGGCTAATTAAAAATAGAAATTGAAGATTCAAGTTAAATGATATTAAATATTATTAAGAACTAGGCTAATTACAGATTAAAATCATTAGAATAAATTAAAAATTTGTTTATTAAATATAATTTATTCATAAATAATGATTTTATTCTGATTCACTTTTTGTTGATATTTTTTATAGGAGATGAATGCCTTATTTATTTATTCGATTCATCTTGTTTTTAGGAATTTTAAATAACATCATCCTTTTGATTTTATTTGAACTCTTATTTGTTTTACTATTAGGTTTAAATTGCGGAATAGAATTTTTCAATAATCTAATTTAATTAACTAAAATTAATTTTGGGTTTATCAAAAAAGTATGTTCTTACCTCATTATGCTCTTATTCACCTTTTTTAGTTAGTGATACTATTTTTTACATTATATTCAGAAGTTGATCTTTGAGTTTTTGCTATTGCTCGTTTATTTACTTTTAAGTTTGTTTTGAGTCTTTTTATAATGGCTTTTTTTAAGTTTATTATTTTTAATTTGATTTAATATTAGATTCCTATTCTTAAGGAATTAATTATTCTATTATAGCTTTCATTTCTTCTAGAAGTTATACTTTTTAATTTATTTATTAGTCTTTAACATTAATATTATTTCTTGTTTTTTCTAAAGATTCTGTTTGATTTTCTTAAATTAATTAATCTTAAAAATTAAAATCATTTTTAATATTTAAATCTTAATCTTCTTATTTATAATTTTTATCGTTTTATTCTTTTAATTTAATTTATAATTATTCTATCTAATTCTAATATTCTTTAATTTATGTGGAATTTTTTTTTTTTTTTTTTAATTTATTTGATTCAAATTCTCTTAATTTACTTTCTTGTTCTTTTATAATATTCTGATACTATTCTAATTACATATTTTATTAATTTTTTATTTATTATAAAGCATCATTTTAATTTAAGACTTCTTAAATTTTTCTTTCAAGTTCTTTTATTTATTTCTATTCATTTTAACTTAATTGTAGTTGATTTTATAAGTCTTAATTCTGGGATTCAAATATTTTAATTTAACTTGATTAATCTTAAATTTTTTTCTATAACTCTTAGATTATTTCTTTTTCTTAATTTTAGAAGTCTTATTGTAAATTAAGATATTTCTAATTGTCGGAATTTACTTCTGTTATTTTTTTATTTTAATTTGCAATAATAGTTTCAAATTCGTTTATTTTATTATCACGACTTATTATTTACTCTTAAAGAATGTTTTTTTCCTATTATATTTAAAATTCTAATTGTTTAACTTTTTCTTCAAGCTTATTATTTTTATTTAATTCTTCACTTTTATTCTACTCAAACATTTACAGATTTTGATCATAAATTTCAATTTTAGTTTCTAATTCTTTAATTCTCTTAATTTTATCTTAAATATCTTGTTCTTTGTTTTATATTTATATTTAAAATAAATTCATTTACTATTTTTGAGATTAATTAATGTCCTATGGTTATTAAATTTATTTAATGATTTATAATGTTTCTTATTGTTATTTTTTAGTTTAAGCAGTTTATTGATTAATTTATTGAAGTTAATTTATAATTTATTCATTTTGTTATTACTATTTATTCTAAATCAAATTTAAAGTTTAACTATTTGATTCAACAAATTATTCTTTGATAAATTTAGAAAAATCTATAATTTAATCTTGGAAAGTCATTTTATTTTAAATTAATACTTAAATTTTGTTAATTTATTCTTAAATAATTTACTTTAATTGATTTTCACTTATTTTATTTTAATTAAATTAATCATTTATATTTTGCCTCATCTATTTAATTTCATCTTATAATTAATTTATTTGATTATTAACAGTTTATTGTTAAAATTATTAATTATTGTTAATTTATTAAAACTATAGAGAATTTTAATTTTAATTAATAACTTATTAAATTTATTAATTATTGTTAATTTATAAAGACTATTTAGCATTTTAATTTTGATTGATCACTTATTAAATTTATTAATTATTGTTAATTTATAAAGACTATTTAGCATTTTAATTTTGATTGATCACTTATTAAATTTATTAATTATTGTTAATTTATAAAGACTATTTAGCATTTTAATTTTGATTGATCACTTATTAAATTTATTAATTATTGTTAATTTATAAAGACTATTTAGCATTTTAATTTTGATTGATCACTTATTAAATTTATTAATTATTGTTAATTTATAAAGACTATTTAGCATTTTAATTTTGATTGATCACTTATTAAATTTATTAATTATTGTTAATTTATAAAGACTATTTAGCATTTTAATTTTGATTGATCACTTATTAAATTTATTAATTATTGTTAATTTATAAAGACTATTTAGCATTTTAATTTTGATTGATCACTTATTAAATTTATTAATTATTGTTAATTTATAAAGACTATTTAGCATTTTAATTTTGATTGATCACTTATTAAATTTATTAATTATTGTTAATTTATAAAGACTATTTAGCATTTTAATTTTGATTGATCACTTATTAAATTTATTAATTATTGTTAATTTATAAAGACTATTTAGCATTTTAATTTTGATTGATCACTTATTAAATTTATTAATTATTGTTAATTTATAAAGACTATTTAGCATTTTAATTTTGATTGATCACTTATTAAATTTATTAATTATTGTTAATTTATAAAGACTATTTAGCATTTTAATTTTGATTGATCACTTATTAAATTTATTAATTATTGTTAATTTATAAAGACTATTTAGCATTTTAATTTTGATTGATCACTTATTAAATTTATTAATTATTGTTAATTTATAAAGACTATTTAGCATTTTAATTTTGATTGATCACTTATTAAATTTATTAATTATTGTTAATTTATAAAGACTATTTAGCATTTTAATTTTGATTGATCACTTATTAAATTTATTAATTATTGTTAATTTATAAAGACTATTTAGCATTTTAATTTTGATTGATCACTTATTAAATTTATTAATTATTGTTAATTTATAAAGACTATTTAGCATTTTAATTTTGATTGATCACTTATTAAATTTATTAATTATTGTTAATTTATAAAGACTATTTAGCATTTTAATTTTGATTGATCACTTATTAAATTTATTAATTATTGTTAATTTATAAAGACTATTTAGCATTTTAATTTTGATTGATCACTTATTAAATTTATTAATTATTGTTAATTTATAAAGACTATTTAGCATTTTAATTTTGATTGATCACTTATTAAATTTATTAATTATTGTTAATTTATAAAGACTATTTAGCATTTTAATTTTGATTGATCACTTATTAAATTTATTAATTATTGTTAATTTATAAAGACTATTTAGCATTTTAATTTTGATTGATCACTTATTAAATTTATTAATTATTATTAATAATACCCTATTAAAACTATTCACCATTTTGAATATTGATATCTTTTTATAAAGGTAAATTTAATTATCTATTTTATTAAACTAAATTTTGATTAATAGGGATATTTTAAACCATATTTTTTAATGCCTCAATTACTTAATTAATTTAGATTCTTTATTAATCATTTGGATTTAACATTTTACTTAATAAGTTTTATATTTCCTCTTTTTTATCATCTAATTAATTAATTAAATAATTTAATCTATCTTTAATATATTGATCATTATTTTTAATATTTTTAATTATATTTTCAACCTCTAATGCAGTTTATGCTAAGATAAAAGAAACTAAATACCTTGTAAAAATGGTTATTTTGTCAAAAGTTCATAAAATAAACAACCAAGTGCCCAAATATCAACTGATTTTGAATAATCTTGTCTTCCTTCAACTAATTCAGGCGCTTTAAAAAGACATGTTCCAATGTTTCTAGTCATCTATATTCTTTAATCCCCTCTTATTAATCCAAAATCAATAAGTTTAAATTAATTATCTATTTTAATATAATTTTCAGGTTTAATGTCTCTATGTATTAATTCTTATTAATGTAAAAATTATATAGATTAAGATATCTAATATATATTAATAATTTAATAATACCTAAATTAAAATCTCAACTTTCTTTTGAAATGTTAATTATTATTATTCATAAATGAATGCAAATAGATCTTATTCTCCTTTTTCCATTATGAAAACATCCTAATTGTTCCATTTATATCTTCCATAAATTCTAATTAATCCAGATGGTTTATAATTTTATTATGAATTTTCATATTGATTCTGATATTATATAAGGCTATCAATAAATTGAATTTCATTATCTTAAGTAATTCCTTAGCATTTTAATGCATATTATTTTTAATCATTAATTCCCCAATTTATTGATTTGGCTAAATATACAGATCCTTGTGCTCCTTATCCAATTTTATTTATTGATTCAAATTTTCTATTTGGAAAATTTAGAATAGGAGCATCAATGACAATATTATTCTTGTTTTGCTAATTCTATTACATATTTAATAAATGTTATTTATATTATATTTATATTAATTCATTATTATTCATTAAAATGTAAATAAAAAATTTACTTTTTCTAAGTTAAACTTATTTAGACTATTCATAATTAATGATTCCTCAAACTCTTCCTTTTGTTGATTGATTCTAATTGAGCAACATAAGTTTTTCTTAAGTTACCTAATTCTATCTATTAAAAATAAGTAATTTTATTTACAAGTTCAACTTGTTAGTTAATTATTAACAAAATAGAATACTTTAAAAAAGATTAATTCTTTTTGAACAGTCTTAAACTCTTCGATGTGCTGATGAGCATCAAACCATTCTCCAATTAAAAAGATTGATATTTTATTAACATTAAGAACATATACCATCATATTATATAATTTATCTCCATAAAAGGATATTATATAGTACTTCTCTTTCAACAGATGTTTTTTCATAATGATTCTCAATTAAATGGTCGAATTCCATTTTTAGCCATTATTAATTCCTTTTTTAATTTATTTTTTTTTTAAATCTTCATCTTAAAAAGTAACAATTTCTCTTTTTTTTCCTTACTTTAATCTTATTTTTATATAGTTTTTTCAAATTCTTTTTTACATAAATTTTTATAAATGTTATTATTATTTTACCTTTAATAATGCAATTATTAGATTTTCATCTAAAATATTCATATATTCTGATTATAAAAATAGAAAGATAATGTTAAGCACTTTCATTCTCAAAAATTTATTGATATATAATTAAAATTTATATAAACTGCTTCTCAGATTATTTTATATTTTTTGTCATTTAAGCCTAGATTATTTAGAATTATTGTCTCAATTACTCCTTCTCTTCCAGATTCAGGAAGCCCTATTTCTATACAAAATTGAAACAAATTTTCCAACACACAAGGATTCATAAGAATTGTGACACATTCAAAAAGTCAATTTCATTTGGAATCAAATATAGAATAATATGATAGAATGTGAATTTCATTTTTTAACTTAATGAATAATAATTAAATTTTCGTTATCTTAAATTTCATTCTCTTCAATTCATTATATTTTTCATTTTAAAATTAAATCATAAATTAAAAAGTATTAGTTGTAATTCTTGTATTGATTTGCAAATGTAGATTAAAACAGAAAAAAAGCTTAGTTAATTATAAGCATGATTATTGGTTTATTGACTTTTGTTATGATGGCAATTTCTATAAAGTAAAAAAAACTTAAAAATAGTAATCAGACAAGTTGGATGATTTTTTATTAAATTATTTTTATTATCTATTTATTTTAAAAAGAAAATAAATCAAGCAATGACTACCTTGATAATATATATAATTGATAAATCTGAGTTAGATTCAAATCCATTCAAATAATTTAATTTATATTTTTTTAATTAAAAAAATAGGTATATACAAAATATATTGAATATATGGTAAACATTGCAAAAAACGGTTAAGTAAATACATCAATTATATAATTAAAAATTAATAGTCTTTAAATTAAACTATCGAATACAAATATATCCAAATCAAAAACATAGATCTAACGAAAAAAAAGTAAGAAGCTTCTATAAGATGCTATTTAATTTTTTATTACATAATAAATCTAATTGATTAGCGATAACCAAGTGAAAATGAAATTTAATTTAATAAAAATTCTTCTTAATTCTTTTGTAAGAAATTTTATATTTGAATTAAAAAATTAAATTAATTTTATTAATCATTAATAAAATTCATAAAAGCAAGATAGCTATCACTTTTGAATTAATTTAATTTATTTCCTTTTTTGATATTAATAATCATAGCTATAGGATTGAAAAAAGATAATTTAAATATCAATTAACAGATCTATAGTGATTATTCTTATTAAGAACTTATCTATGTTTATATAGTATTCTATTTTTTAATTTAAATTATTAAATATCTAATCATAATTTTTTAAAATAATTTCAAATAAGATTAACCAAATAAATAATGACATATGAAATTTCAAATTCATATAAATTTGCACAATTAATCAGCAGCTTTTGATTCCTTAAATTAGTCATAAATATCTGTGAAATATTTTAAATATATTCTGCCTTATCTATTTATTTCTATAATTAAATATAAATAGGAATATAATATTAATCATTCACAAATTCTATAATAAAGGCTAAAATAAACAAATTTTCAAATAGATCTTATACATTACTTTTCTTGTATTTAAAAGTGTCAAATAAGCATATTTGATGAAAGAGTCAGAAATATTAAATTAAATAATAGGACAGAAAAGAATAACTAAAAAATCTATAAAGAAACAGAAAGCAAAATTTTGATTGATCTGATTTACAACTTAAATTAAAATACCTCTCTTTTTTTAATTTTTATTGAACATATATTAATGCATAGAATATAACAGATATCTTTTCTATTCTTTTTTTGTTTATATTATTTCTATTTAACTTAATTTATATTTCCATTATTATTCTCTTTATTTTATTATTAAACTTTTAATTAAGACTTTAATTAAATAAAAGGAAAATTTATATCATAAAAGTATTATCAAGTGTTTATACTTCTTTATTATTATTCATTGTTATTGAAATATAAAATGTATATATTTATTCTTATTTTTTACTCTAACTAATTAAATCGAGTTGACTGTCTTAGAATAAATGCTAATTTAAGAAAATTTCATAATCATCAATCAGTCAAGAGACTAAAAATTTATAATATCAGATATAAAAGATTGTATTATATAATATTATCCAAAGTTTGATATTCTTAATTATATTCAGATATTTAATATGTAAAAATTTTATTTATTAAACATTATAACCTCCTCTTTATGCAATAATAATACCTAAATTCAAATCTCTTAATTCTAATTCCATGATAATTAATGTGGTTAGTTATATATTTATTCAAATATATTGTATTAAAAATAGCTGAAATTTCTAGAAAAGAAATTTATCGAAATATATTCATACATAATTTGAATAAATAAGACATTTTTATCAATATTCTTATTTTTTTATTTTATTCTTTAATAAAGTTTTGTGGTTTTTTTCCAAAATTATAATTTTTAGCCGTAATCATTGATCTTTTAAGCATTTTCCTTAATTTAAATGTCCATCAATCAGATATAAGATTTAGATAGAATATCTTAATTTTATATTTCTATCTAATTTATTCTAACTTAATCTTTTATTTTTATGATATTTCAAATATTTATGTATTTACATCTTCTTAAAAGGATTCTTTTGAATGTTATTCTAATCTAGTTCTGTTTCTAATATAAGTTTTCTTTTTAAATGTGAAAAATAAATTAAGATTTCTTTATTCAATAATATCATCTGGATGAATCAAAATAAATATTTCACATTTTAAATTTTAGCTAATGGATATATCATCAATGAATAAGAATAAAGAGAAATATCTTTAATATTTATTATGTTAATAAGGATGCTTTTAATTCTATGCAATATCAGTATTATATTTAAAATTTAATATTAATATGTTAGAAATATTTGTTTTTTAAGGACCTAAAGGTATTTGATTAATTCAGCTTTGAAATAATTATAAACATAATTGTTTAATAGCTTAAATTTAAAACAATGTTTTAAGATGTAAACATGATCTTTTACCTATGGTTCTTTTCCAAATATTCTTTCCATATACCTACTACTTAATTGTTCATTATATTTTATAAGTCAAATTTGTTAATTAAATAAATCACAATGATATTTTACTACTAAAATCTAATACAGTTTTAATCGTTTATTAATTCTACATACTATATAAATCTTAGCCACAAAATTTTATTAATTATTCAGTATTGAATCACCTCTCAATAATAATATAAATTTACCGTATACATAATAAAGTTTTGAAATTTTGCTAATCTTTTATTTATTGAATTGAGCCAATTCAAGTTAAAAATGATTTCTGTTATAGAATTTTTAAATTTATCATTTTCTTAAATATTGCATGGATTAATCCCTTTTTAAAAACTATTAGTTATATTTATTTGAAATTTATAATTTGTGTTCTTCATTTTATTTTCTAAGTTTAAGCTATTAGTTATTTTATTAAACAGTTATTCATTAACAAATCAATTTCTGTAACTATCAAATAGAATAAGTGAAAGTGTTTTTGAAAAATTATCTATATTAATAATAATGTAAAAAAAAATAATTTACTTTATGTAACAATACATAAACAAAATAAAGATTGTTTTTAATTTAATTAAACTAGAAAATAGGAATTTATTTTTGAATTGTTAAATAATAATAATTTGCAGATATAGATCAGACATTTCATATAATGTAAATAAGAATAATTACTAAATAAGTCTATTAATTATTAAATTATTTTTCTAACCGAATTGCTCTGATTATTTATACCAAAATAAAAATATTGCTGAATTACTTTTTAAGTTATAGTCCTTATTCTTTTATAAAAATTCATTAATACTTAAGAAATTTATAAATCTCAAAGAGCTTTTTGTTTGACTTTTAACCCATTTCATTATTATTTTTAATCTATTAAAAATACACTTAAATCCCATTTTGATTAAATTATTTAGAAGAACTTATCTTTAAGTTCAATTAATTTAAACAAATTTAAGTATCATTTTATTGATGTTGATTTTACTTAAATTTTGATAATAATAATAATGTTAAAATAAAAATTATTCATCATATTATTTCTTTTGACTCCTTTCAATAATAAAAAAATCTGCTTAAATTTCTGTTTATTAAATTTAATTATATTATTTATTAATTAATTTATAAAATTTAATAGAATTAGGAATGCAATATAACTAAATGATCAATTCTGTTGTAGAAGCTCCAACAAGAGAATATCCAAAAAGATAATTTGTATTAACAAAGCTTCTTGGAGTTGGAGGTGAAGGAGCAGTATATTTAGCTACTGCTGATAATTGGGGTAATAATCCTAAACAAGTTGCTCTTAAATTTCAAAAGAATATGAAAGATAATGAGAAATACTTTATATAAAATTT